GTTTGCAACTCTTTTGCGACAATTGCATGAATTATCCCAAAAACAAGCATATAAATCATTTTTATATCAAAGCAAGCATAGAAATGATGAAGCTAATATGGGGCTAGAAAAGTTGAAATTAGTATGTTCGCGTTTTGTGTTTGTATTATTTATAAAACAGCAAGCAGAACTTGCAAAATCTGAATCCTACGAAGTGTTTGAAAGTGATAATAGTACATACAATATAACATGGATTTGTAATCATGCTAATTTGACTTCGACAAATATTGTACATCTTGAAGCACCCAGTTTTTGTATGTGTTTGCATCTACATCGTACAAGAACCCCTTGCCGGCATATTATCGCAGTATATTTGTTACACTTACATACTGACATACTACCTAGTGAGATTCATTAGCACTGGTATGTACAAAATCAAGCAGAATTGAATACTGTCTATCCACATATTGTTTAAACTTTTAAACAACTTCTAAGTTATCATTATAGTGCTTTCACAGGTCTAATGCAGCAGGCTTCTGGGTATGTTATTGAGCATGGTAAAATTCCAGAGCTTCTACAAAGAGATCCAAATATTATGCAAAAAGTATTTTTAAAACTGTTAACATTTCTGATACAACAAATTATGCTGGAATTAAAATGCTAGCAATCAAATATTCACGTGGACGCCCACCAAATAATGGACGCATCCATAGGGCAGATGAAGATAAAACATCTTCAAAGAAAAGTGCTAGTAAATACAAGCATGATGGGATGGTTTTAAAACTGATCACTTATATTAACATTGCAGTAAATTGTAATAAAAGCCAGGTGCCAGCAACAAAACGTTTACGTGGTCAACCACTGAAAAATGCTAAACAAAAGTGATTTTAATTAACTAAAGCATTTCTTCTCTTGCTATTTGGGTTTATATTTGCTTTTGTTATTATGTTTTGCATTATGCTTTTTAGCTAAATATATTAAATTGTAAGCAATTAATATAAGAATTACATTATCATGTATAAGTTCTGTTTGTATATATAATTTGGAAATATAAATCAAGATTTTAATATGAAATTTTATATTGTACTCATTATTATTTTCAAATATATTGGTATTAAAAGTGGCTACTAAACAACGAAATATAGTAAGTATAAGTCAACATTTAATATGGAACTCTTGAATAACAGGTTAAAGAATATTATGTTTTAAGATCCTAGTGTAAAAATTTTAGAAATACACATTGTATATAACTATTATTTTACACTACTGCACTATATCAAATTTTCAAGTTTATTATACCCATACTCTGTATAAAATTGAATTATATTTGAATATCATAATTATGGCTATACTCCGGGTGTTATTCAAAATATAATACCCAAGACTTTATAAAAATATTAGATATAAGAAGTACTATATACAAAAAAAAGTACTATATACATATGTATAGTAACTATGTAAATCAAAATTAGTAATTTTACTATGTATGATCAGATTTTAATCAGTAAAATTAAATAATCGATTAAATATCATACTTGTATGTTTAAATTCTAATTTTTTTTACTTTAACTAAATTTAAATTATTTATAAGTAATTCATTGGGTTTTAATAAGTTGCACTGTTTAAAAGTAATTAATATATTAGTTCTAAACGAAAATGTATAGCAGTAATTAACATTAAATTGATTTAAAGTTCATAGTTTGCTTACATAGGTTTGATTTATTTAGTTGAGTTACTGCCTTTACAAAGTGATTATTATTTTAATCGATAGACAATTTAAAAGTTAAATAATAAAATAAATCACCATTATTATACTTTAATGTATCGCCATATTTAGAAAAGTTTAATTAATATGCACATCTAACGTGACCTAATCCCGATACTGTAACAACCGGCTTTTATTGCCATTAAATATAAGATACAATTGGTATAAGGTGCAAAGTGCCTATTTTAAAAGCTACACCATACTATATAATTTGTTATAATTATATATAATACTAAATAGTCTTGTATAGCTTTGATAAGGTTATCTAAAGAACTGATTTTTTAATTGATTTTCTAGCAATTTTATTGGTCGATCAAAATTGGTGTACAGAATATTACACAAAACTGGTGTACAAAAAAAATTACCGTATTTAGTATTATTGTAATAATCTGATGTATTAATTTATGTTAATAAAGAGAAATCTTATACCCTGTAATTATGTATATTAGTTTATCAATATAAACAATTTGACTTTAATCACTATATTCATGAACAAAGCTAAATTGGTTCAAGGTCCTACTAAGCACTCCCACCCAGATCATATGGGTTTTTGCCTTGAAATAACCTTATGGCATTATGTATCATAAGGTCATTTTCAAGACAAAGACCCTACATGTATACTAGCAGCTTAATTGGACCTGCTACTGCAATTATTCTCTATTGCTGTATTAATATAATTTTACTGATTATTAGAATTTAAATAAAAAAATTTTCATTGAATTTAGTTAGGTTATTAAGATATCTTTGCTCAAAGTTGAAGAAAATTCAAAACATCAAAATTGTGCTAATTATTTAAGTGAAGATATCTTAATAACTGCTAGAGATAGAAAATGTTTTAAAATGGATTGTTTTAAACATGTTTGTTTGATTTAAACTAGTTTTTTAATAATTTAAAACATTCTGACATAATCATAACTGTAACAATGGAATAGTATTTATTTAATTGATTTAATACATTCTGATGTAATCATAATACATAACAATAGGATAGTATTTATTTATTTAATTAATTATGTCAAAATACAATTTTACCATTATCTCTTTTTAAAATATAAAATTTTTAACGATTATGCACTATAGAAGACCTCCATTAAAAGAAATTCACTTGAACTTTACAAAAGTTACAGAAACTAACAAATTTGGTCGAACTACACCTTGCTAAAAATGTAACTACTGTGGAGAGAACTTTGTAGATTTAGTCACTTGATTGAAGGATCACTTGTTAAGATGCAAAAAGTTTTCAACAAATATGAAAAATTTATTAAATAATGCTGATGTTCAAGCCTCCAGTTCAAACGAAGATGAGATAACAATAACCAAATTAGATGTAGATCATAAATTAGCAAGATTTTTCTATTTAGCCAGTATTCATTTTACAGCTATTAAAACACTCTTTTGGGAAGAATTTATGAATGCTGTGCATCTTTATATTAAAAATAATGCAAACCTGATTTATATTAGTCCTAATCGTCACAATTTGGCTAGCAATTTGCTAGATTCTAAATATGAAGTTGGTTAGCAAAATTTAACTAGAATTTTAGAAAAGTCAACAAATATTACATTAGTTTTGGATAGGTGGTCAAATATCTGACAAGAGTCTGTTCTAAATTTTATTCTTTGCTTTCCTAAACCATTTTTTTATAATAAAAAGTATTCTGGCTCTAAATCTCATATGGCAGAGTATATCTATAATGAGTTAAAAACTATAATTGAAGATGTTAGCACTTTTAAGTTTGCTGGAATTGTAACGGATAATGCAAATAATATGCGAGTGGCTTGGAAGTTATTAAACAAAGATTACCCATGATTAATTTGTTTAGGCTACAATGCATATATTGAGGAATGGCTAAAGCAAAGTGTAGTCATGTGATAACCCAATCAGAATAGCTCCGACAAAACCTCTAGATGGCTATATATATTGTGACAGCTGATGCTGAATTTGGCTGATGCTGAATATCACGTGATGTTTCAGGCTGGAAATTGCAGATCGTGTCACATATTGATCATGCCATACATACTATTCGGTCTGGAAATTGCACAATACAACAATGCATATCATTGTTTTGTTATACATATTGTGCATAAAAATTTTCTTTTTTTTATGTTCGCCTACACACTGCACTTTTAAGTATCCAACGACCAAGTTTTTTTTTTTTGACCAACCTGTTTTTTAGCAAGTTTTTTTTTTCTTGCAATTTTTCCCTTTAGCGGATTTTAAGTTTTTTTTTTTTGTCCAACCTGTTTTTTAGCAAGAGTTTCTTCTGCGGGGTTTTTTTTTTTATTTTTATTTTTATTTTTATTTTTTTTGAAAAAACTTTATTTTTTTTTTTTTTATTGACTTATGCCGGCAATCCCAAAAATCCCCGAGACAGAAACTGAATACCAAACGATAATGGAATATCTTCACTCAAAAACGATACCCAAAGATGTTCTGAAAAAGTGTGCCAAAACAAACTTTATTCGTCGATGCGCAAAATTTGTGTTAGACGAAAATAGAGCCTTATACACTCCCACTGTTGTAAAGAATGGCGTTACATTTGAAAGATGCCGGGTGGTCCCTAAGTATGACCAAGAATTGCACACCCGGATATTACAGCGTTTTCACGATCAAGCAAACCACCGTAACTATCACAAGACTTTCGCTGCTATTTCAGAAC